GCTGGGGGGAGGCCAGGGGCTCACGGAGGATGCGAGGGGCGCACGGAGGATGCACGCAGAGCCTGCACGCTGTTCTCTGCAGGTTCCACAAGCTGGAGAAGTGGCGGCGGCCCTTCTACCGCGTGCTGCAGGTGTACCCCAACGCGTCCGTGCTGCTGCCCGCCTTCTACAACACGCGCAACACCGACGTGTCCATCCGCGTCAAGTACGTGCTGGACGACTTCGAGTCTCCGCAGGCCGTCTACTACTTCCACCCGCAGTACCTGCTCAATGTGTCGCGCTACTGGCTGACCCTGGGCGTGCGCGCCAAGCGCATCAGCACCGGCCTCATCCTGGTCACCGCGGCGCTCGAGCTGTGCGAGGAGGTGCACCTCTTCGGCTTCTGGGCCTTCCCCATGAACCCCTCGGGCCTCTACATCACCCACCACTACTACGACAATGTCAAGCCCAGGCCCGGCTTCCACGCCATGCCCTCCGAGATCTTCAACTTCCTGCATCTGCACAGCCGGGGCATCCTCCGCGTGCACACCGGCACCTGCAGCTGCTGCTGAGGGGGGAGGCCACACCCAGCAGCTTCCAGAACCTTCTCTCCTGTGCCCCCTCCTGGTGCGACTGGGAGCTGTAGGCCAGGCAGCCCGGCGTTGAGGGGACACACCCTCTTCCTCAATAGCTCAGCTTTGTGCTTGGGTCCCGTGGGGTTGTGGGGAGGCCAGGGTGGGAGCTGGGGCCGAGGCAGCTATGGGGTGAACTTCCCCGGGGTGGGGGGGAGCATGCCGCTGCTATGCACCCTGAGATCAAGGCCCCCAGCCCGGAGCACTGCAAGGGAATAAAGCACATTTTAACTGAATTTTAGCAATCAAGAATGCACAAGGGTGGTGACTTTGTCACAGCTAAAGACAGGCCCTCCAGCAAGTGGGAAAGAGGCAGACAGGACTTTGGAGCACAGTCAGACTTTTGGGTTCCTGATTTTGCCCCCAAAGCCTCGGCCACTAGTGCTCGGAATCTCAGCGCTTCAAGGCCACACCAGCAGCCAGACCTTTCTTCAAAGGCCCAGGGACTTAAGAGCTAATGTCTCAACAACTGGCCCAGCTCCAGGAGTGTGACTGTGGCAGAGTGTGGAGGCTGTGTTCACAGGCTTATCCCCTGGACACACACCCAGTCTTGGTGCCAGGAGGCCTAATTCTGCCTTTGATCATTTGATGAGAAGGAAATAAATCAGACCAGCCATTTGCACTAAGGTTTCCGAGCCAATGTTATTGACTCAGTAAGTGCTCCGCAATTTGCTTCCTCTTCTTGCTCCTTATTTTTGGCTCTGTTCTAACTAGGAGTTATTTATAAGATCTGTTTTTCTTTATGTTCCTGAACTGGGCAGAATCTATATTGTGTTCCATCTCCTGGCTAAAAAAGTGCTGGCATCAGAGGCCCATCTATGGAAATAGAGCCTGTGACAATTAGTTTTGAATTGCTGAATGATCTCACAGCTGACAAGGAAAACTGGAATGGGGTCTTGAGCGTGCTAGCTAGCACCTCCCCTCAGGTAACGTCTAGCACATGCCATCCCTGTCACACCCTAGATATGCCTCTGATTGGCCTGTAAGTTGAGGAGGTGAAAGGACAGGAGTGAGTGATGACCTCTGACACAGCATCATCGGTCCTTCCTCTGAAAAGGAGAGTGTTCCTGTCCCAGGCTGCCGGTCTCACACACACAGCCTGGAATGGGTGAATGAGGCACGCCACATCCAAAATACGTGTTTCTTTGCTTCCCTGGCATTGGTTTCCATCATCAGTGCGACCGGGCCGAGTAGTTGTGGTTACCTGCGCTAAGTCGGTTCCAGTTTGTCAACCAGCCCTGCACACTCGCCAGACCTGCACCATCCTAGCTTTTGTTGCTGTGTTCGGACTCAGGGTTGGGGGTCACTGTGTCAGTCCTTCTCATCCAGAGTCTGCCTGTTTTTCACGGACCCTCTACTTTCCCAAGCAGTATGCCCATTTCCCAGGACTCATCTTTTCCTGATGTTGTTGCTGTTGTTAGGTGCCATCAAGTCATCTACCTACAGCTCATACAGACACTGTGAACAGTGGGTCTGCATTTTGCCGTATCCACCGTCCTCAGGATCTCCTCTTGATAATATTCCCATTCAAGCTGCTCCTGGTCACCTGCCCAAGATGAGATGAAGTTTGGCCCTTCTCGCTTGGGGATTCTTTGGGCTATGCGTCTTCCAAGGCAGATATGCTGGTTTCTGGCAATCTACTGTGCATTTAATATCCTTCACCAAGAACATAATTCAAAGCTATCAACGCTTCAGGCTTCCATTTTTTAAATTCTTTTTATTATTAATTTTAATGAAAATTTAGAGATTTTGGATTTCTATTCATTCATTGTTGCACTTTTCTCCCTGCCCACCCCTCCCCTCCAGTTCATTCTTCTCTTTAAAAAGTAAAAGAAAAACACTTTCATTGGTATACTATTCCTCCCCACCCAAGTCCACTCCACTGTGCAGCCTTCGTTCTGGACTC